TTTTAAATTTCCTAAACTTTATTTTTTCTTAAAGAAGCTAGTAATGCTTTTGGATCCAGATGCAGCCTTTTGTCTGGCTAATTCCTTTTTACCAATTGTTTTTTGAGGCTGTATAAAAAGTATACATTATAATCAATATAATACAAATACATTGATATGTATAAAAAATTTATTACCTTCTCTAATTTGGTTGATTCAGATGTTTTTGGTTTTAATACTGATTCATTTTCACTTGTATCTTTCTTAGACCTTTTTTCATCACCATTGTCTTTAGGACTATTTAATTTTCGTTTTTTATTTTCTGTTTCATCTAGTATATTTAAATATTGTGCTAATTTTTTTGATAAATCTTCTGCAAGATACTCTGATACAATACCATGAGCATATTTTAAATACTCTAAATAAAAAATAAATATGATAAATAATATTTTTTAAATATATATTTTTTAATATAAATATACATTATTTTATACCTAAATATTTATTTAAAAATAATTGAAGTTACTTAAGAAAATTTGTAATGCATAAATTTATTTTATTTTACCCATTTCTGAAACAGTTTCATGTTTAGCACTTTTAACATAAGTAGCACTAATAGCACCCTGCGATACATGAATACCCTTCTGTTTTAATACTTCAACTACTCTTTCCACTTTCTTACGCAACCAAATCAATGTTTTTTCTTCATTAAATTTATAAGCTTGTAATGATTCATCTCCTTTACGATCAGCAATTAATATCAATTTTAAATTTTGACATTGAATGAGACGAGTCATTTCTGGAAAATCTTCATCCCAAAGACATTGTTCTAATGGTTGTGCTTGTTGTGACTACGAATATGTTTTTTTAATTTATATATTTAAAGATATTAAATTTATACCTATATCTAGGTATAAATATACATAGGAAAGAAATCATTAAAAACTAATAATTCAAAAATACCTTTCTCAAATAAGGTAATATTAAAAATATTGGATCAATAGGAGTAGATAAATGTAATTTTCCATCAGATTTTACATTATCATCTATAAACCATGATCTTTTATTTTCATCAAATGTTAAAACTTCTTGTACTGTTACATTGCCTGGACTAAATACAAACATTGCAGGCTGATTTGTAGCTGGATGCCTTAATTTAATAACATCAGGTACACCACCATCTGTATTACTTAAATTATCACCTATATATAAAATATATAAAGATAATATAATTCTATAAATATACTTAAAAAAAAATATATGATTCAGAAAGTAATACATGTAAAATAGAATATAAAGAATTTTAGATACAATTATATATAATATAAACAATATTAAAAAATATCGATGTTTATATCATAATATTACAATAAATATATAATAGGGAGATTTTAAATACAAAATAATTTTTATTCACCTTTCATTAGAAAAACCCATGTATTTGTACCTGGATGTGAATTAGTTGTTTTAATACATTTTTTTGGTGATGCTTTGGTACGCGGCATGTTTACGCGCGTATATAAATCGATATTATATTAATTATTTATTTTTTTCACACAATTTTTTTCTTGAATACACATACATATATCAAATCTAGCGATCAACCATTTTTCATAGAACCACCAAATTGTAATGTCTTATTACTTAATAGTTGAAATATATTATATTGCGTATCTTTTTTAATAAATAAATACGTTAATTGCCACATGTCGCCAATGTTGTAAGAAATGACATTTGAAATCTCGATGTGTAGTCGAACATCAATGAGTAGTCGATGATCGGAAAATTAACAAAGAGGCGTTACCGCGCTAACAAGCCATCTTTTAAAAAAGGAAGACGTATGAAAATAATACTCTCTCTCTCTTTCAAGTATGAAAGATTTAAACTATATATGTATGTGATTTTTACGAATACTTATATTTTTAATTTTATATTACCTTTTGAATATATTAATGTTGATAAAGAGAAAGTTCAATAATTTTAAGATAATAAAATAATATCAAATAAAAAATTTATATTTTAATATTTTCTATGTTATGCTATTTATATTTCATTCATAATAATTATATACATTAAATTTACATTGAATTAATTTTTTAATAGTGAATATTTGATTAATATTAATTTTAATATACCAAACATTATAAAAATTAAATATTTTTTTGAATTCATCTGATTAGATTTCCATAAATTTTATATAATATATAGATATTATATAACAATATTAATAAAATAAATAATTCAACGATTTGAATATTTTAATTTTTGATTAATGAATAAATTATAAAAAATATATCTTTGAATAAATTTATAATATTGTAAATGAAATACATTTTTGTAGCAATCTTTTATTTATGCAAAATATAAAATATAATTATAAAAAAAAATATAGAAATAATTTTAATTATATTATTTTTTTCTTCATTAAAAATTTTATAAAATTTCTTAACAAAATATATCACATATATATTTGGAAAATGAATAACCTTTTAAAAATAGAAAAGACTTATTGCATTAATTTGTGTAGATGTAAATATATATTAAAGTTTTATCATTGAAAGCATTGTGACCTTTTTTTCTCTTACTTATTACTCACTCTTTACTTAGTAAGCCTTCAAAGAAATATAGAATACGAATGACGTGATATACGAAAGTGGGTGTGCCTGTCATTGGCTAGCCGGCTATTAAACGTGAAGGTTTTCTTTGATACTATTCGATATTATTCCAATTTTATTTTTCGAAAACAGTGTTATTTATACATATTTTTAAATATATTTATTGTAAGTACATTTTTATATATATGAATACTTATAAGAAAACAAAAAATGATTATGATTACATAGCGATAATAAAGTATTTGTGCATTTTTTTTTTTGAATTGATTAATAATTGTTTTCATTTATTCTAGACAATTTATTATACAAATAAAAATGTCACAACAACAATACTATCCATTTAAAGTAAGTACATTTTTTTAAATTTAATTACAACTTCCTTTATGCCTTTATTTGATTACTAATCAAGTTGATCTATTTGTGGTATGAGAATTGATCAGTTATATTTTTATCGCGTTCATTTGAATAAATCAATGTTCAATTTACTTGCATATTGGTGATTTATGAAATAAATCTTTTACTATATAACACTTTATAATGAAATATTTGCTTATTATAAAAATTCTGTGAGATCATAGAAAACTTCAATGAACCAAGAATTAATTATTTAATATTTATTCTCTATATTTAATATGTATTCTTTCTATTAAATTTCATTATAGAAAAATTTGGTCTATGCAAAATATTTTTATTTGTTATTATTGCATAATCAGTAGATTTTTAAACTTAAAATTGATATTTTTGAATTTTTTTTTTAAAAAAAAAGTGAAAAATAAAAAATTAACTTCAGAAAAATAAAAAATTATTGGTGTGTCAAACAGATTTTACCAAATTAATTATAATTTGTTAGTATTTTTTATTTAAATAAGAATTTTATGTTAAATAAAAATACAAATTAAACAATAAACAAATATATTAATTTAAAATAATATAAAAAATATATATTATTTATTATATATATTATTTATTATAGTGTACTCCTACAGTATATCCTGCAGAACCATTTGATGCAAATGCAGATGCTGCACTGTTACGTAAAGCAATGAAAGGTTTTGGTACTGATGAGAAAACAATTATTGATGTACTTACAAGAAGAGGAATTGTTCAGAGATTAGAAATTGCTGAAGCATTTAAAACTTTGTATGGAAAAGATTTGATTAGTGATTTAAAAAGTGAATTAACAGGGAAATTAGAAGATGTTATAATTGCTCTTATGACACCATTACCTCATTATTATGCTAAAGAATTACATGATGCTGTTAGTGGATTAGGAACTGATGAAGAAGCAATTGTAGAAATTTTATGTACTTTGAGTAATTATGGTATACGTACTATTGCAGCATTTTATGAAAATTGTAAGTTTAGAAATTAATATTTTTATTTATTTAAATTATGATATCATTTTTTATTAAATAGATTTATATTATATTATATAATTTATATATTATAAAACTTTAACATATTTTGTTTTTAATAGTTGTTTAATAATTGTTTTTAATAGTATATGGAAAATCTCTTGAAAGTGATTTGAAAGGAGATACTTCGGGTCATTTTAAGAGATTATTAGTGTCTCTTGTGCAAGCAAATAGAGATGAAAATCAAGGAATAGATCAAACTCAGGCTATAGCAGATGCTCAAGCATTATATGAAGCTGGTATGTATAACAATATAAAAATATTTTTAATATTACAAAGTATATCAAGATAAAAAATCTTTTTTGAATTAATAAAATATAGATGGTAAATAAAGTTGTAAAAGATTCTGTTTTCTTATAAATCGTGAAAAAAATTTTCCAATGTATTTTGAAATTCACTTAATTTATTTATTTAAAAAAATAATTATTATTTTATTATATAGGTGAAAAACAATGGGGTACAGATGAATCACAGTTTAATGCTATTTTAGTAGCTCGTAGTTATCAACAATTAAGACAGACTTTTATTGAATATGAAAAAATATCTGGGCATGATATTGAAGTTGCTATTAAAAAGGAATTTTCTGGAAATCTTGAAAAAGGTTTACTGGGAATAGGTTAATATTTTTTTTTAAATTTTTTTCAATAGAAATTATAATAATGATAATATAATTTTCATATATATATATTTTAAAAATTTCATTTCATATAAATTAAATATAAATACTTTGATATTTGTTATGTAACAGTGAAATGTGTAAAATCAAAAGTTGGTTTTTTTGCTGAACGATTGTATGCCAGTATGCATGGTATTGGAACAAAAGATAGAACACTAATTCGCATTATCGTTTCTCGAAGTGAAATTGATTTAGGTGATATTAAAAAAGCTTTTGAAGAACGTTATGGAAAATCATTGGAAAGTTGGATTGCTGTATGTATTTATTTTTTACTACTTTTATGTTTTATAGAATTTAAATATTTAATACATTTTTTTAATACATCATTTAATACATTAATAAAAATAAAAATCAAATATAATAAGTTTCAAAAAAGTTTGTTCTTCGAATTTTTAATAAATTGATAATTATTAATATTTTAGGGTGACACATCTGGTGATTACAAAAAAGCTTTACTCTCGCTTGTTTCTACTTAAATAAAAATAAATTTAATAATGAATTCTTAAACTTAAATAATATTTATAACATAAATATATGATGAATCTGTTTTCAATGATCTGAAGTTATGTTTTAAACATATTTGTTAAAAAAATATATATACCAATTTATTAATTAAAAATATGGATATAAACCAATATTTTATTATATTTTTTATACAATTAAAAAGAATCTTAAAAGAATCAATGTGGTGCTTATTATAGTATATAATAAAATAACATTTATTTTTGATGATGTATATTTTATTAAATCATATAATTATATATTATATTTTTATTATAAGTAATCATATATTTTATAATAAAAATTTAATATTTACATCAATTATTGTAAAATCTTTATAAAAATAAATGTATTAAAATATTCTTATTGTGTATTTAATATTTAATTTAATATCAACAAATATTGAATACTTGAAAATACTTTTTGCATTTATTAAAGTGACACATGTAATTATATTATTAATAAATTATTTAATAATTATAATTTAATATTTATTAAAAAATTACATTTAAATATAAATAAAACATATTATTGTGTAATTAGTTAAATAAATGCTTATTTTAATATAGTTGATTTAAAATTACAAATATTACAAGTGATATTTTGTACATATATACATATCATCAATATTTTTTCTATTTGTATTAAAATGATGATAGAAAATCACAGTATCTTTTTAAAAACAAATTATTTAATTAATTTTTAAAACTTAATTATTTTTTTTTCTTATTTCTCAAACTTCTACGAACACATCCTAGGGAAAAAATTAATAACATTAATTATGATTTATTAAATGATTATAACTATTGTATAATATTCATATATAATATACATATAATACATATTATATATAATATACAATAGTTATATGATATTAATATACAATACCTGCTTTAGATATATTACATTTTTTATTATTACGAAATGTATTAATTAATGGATAAAACATAGCTGGCATTCTTTCAAAACATTTAAGCATTGGAGTTGGTATGGTTTTATCCAATGGAATCCAAGAAGAATTAGATAAAGTATGAAATTGTTCACCATAAATTGTATGCATATCAAGAATATTTTTCCTGAAAATAAAAATTAAATAAAAATAACTACAAAAGACAATAATACTTATTCTAAATCAAAAAAATTTAAATAAATAAATTTAATATAATTTATATGTAATTTAATAATATATTTTAAATCATTTACCCTGGATTTCCTGCTACTTTAAAAACAGTAGCGAATGCTCCATTTCTTACAGTATGTCTCATAATATAATGTCCTGGAGACAGATTAGCAAGAGATTGAATAACATTATGCAAAATTACTAAAGAATCTTCAACTTTTATATTAAAAAGTCTCTTGATTTCGTTATTTATAGACATTGCTGTGCGATATTCTATTTGCAATATTTCTGATGTTTTTGCAGATATTCGAACTGAAATAAATATTACACAATATGATATTTGAAATATTAGGATGAAATTTTTACGTTTATTATTCAATATTATTATAATATTTTATCATTATATTAAATTATATTTTATTATTATATAATATTATATATTAATTTAATAAGAATTAATAATTCAATATATATTATAGTATAAAGTATGATCAAAATATTCTTTTTTTAAAAACTTATTTTTAATATATACAGATTTTTTTGTCTTAACTCTAATTAAATAAATATTTAAATTTTGTTTATATTTTGTTTATAAATATATAAATTATGTTTATTATTTATATATTAACATAAATACTATATTATATATTATATTATTTATATATTATAAATAATTTACCTCGTGCAAGCGATGTATTAGGTCTAAAAATTAAAGATATCCATTGTTTTAATGCTTCTTCTAATGTTACAGCTTCAGCACCAAAATCAACTTGATGCTCTAATTTTGGTGTTAATAATAACAATCTTTGTACTTTATTTCGTAAAATCTATAAAAATAAAGTAAATTAAAGTAAAATAAAGAAAAAATAGTGTAAAAAAAAAATTTGTATTTTTTAAAAATATTTATTATTAAGTTACAAAAATATTAAATAATATAACATATACAGACCTCAAATCCATGTGTTTTTGTTCGAACTAATATTTTGTATTCTCTGGTAATATTTTTCATTAATTCATTTTGTTCTGTAAGTTGTCCAATGGTAAATAATTTGTATGATACATTATCTTCTATCATCTCAGAACATTTATTTTCTATACCTATTCATTTATAAAATTGATTACTTTTAATATTTTTCATTTTTTCTTTATTTTTAATAATAATAATAACAACAATAATTATTGTTATAAACATTTCGTTTATTGTAACAACAAACGTAATAATAATTAAAAAAATTAATAATTTATAATAAAAAGCTTTTAATAAAAAATTTGATAATTGATCATTTTTATAATTAATTTATAATTTAAGAAATATATTAGTATATATAGATATCAAAAATAGTTTTACCTTCATTATTCATAGAAGATTCATCATTATAGAAATTAGATGTGTTATATAAATATTCTTTACAATTTATTATTTCAGAAGAATTTACATTACTTTTAATATTTTCTTCTGTTAAAATTTCTTCAAAGTTCTTATTTTTTTCTGTCATATTTGAAAGTGATTCATTATTAATTTTTGTGGCAATATTTTCATATTTTTCTTCTAATTTTAATAGTTCTTCAGAATTAATATCTCCAAATATATTATCATCATGTTCTTCATTACTATTACTATATAATTAAAATTTGATTATAATACAATCAAAAAGAAGAATACAATTTTTAAAGAATAAATTTTTATCTTACTTGTGTGAAGATAAATTTTTGGAAGGGAAAAAGAAATATTTAAGAATGTATTTATATACCCAAGTATTTTTTTCTGGTATAGTACTAGCAACTGGTGGTGCTGGTTTATCTATATAGATAACATTTTTATCATTATGTTTTTTTATTATAAAAGGTAAAATCCATGAGTTTGGATTTGTTGGTCCAATATTATTTACCAAACACTTAAGGCCACTTGATGAAATTACCAAATCCACATTATTACTTTCAGCCAATTTTTGACAATTTATATCTTCACTTACAGGTAATTTATAAAATAAAGATTTATTGGAATTATTTTGATTAGAAGAAAATCTTTTTCGTAATTGTTCTGAATTTATTCTCAGCATACATGGTTTAGTGAAAGTTGGTAACTCTATCTTTTGTAATGTACCCTATAAGAACTTTGTATTTAATATTTTTAATGAAATATAATATATAATATTATATTCCAATTATATTTATATATCATATATATAGATATATAATATTTTATTACTTACTAGTTGTAAACAATTAGAAATAAATGTTACATCAATGTTTTTATCTGCTACAAATGGAATGCTTGTTACTTCTGTATAATATCTAGGTAATTCATAAATATATTGTAATTTTGATTTCCAATGTAAATTTATATAATCTTCACATGTAATTTTGAATGATCTTTCATGCCATTTGCTTTTTGCAAACTCTAAAAATTCATCTTGTTCTTGAGATATTATTTGTTTCAAATCCTATAATACAAAGAATATAAAATTACATATCATAAAGAATAATAATATATATAATTCTATATCAGAAAAATTAGTTCAATAATTTTATATGATATATTTTATACATTTTATATACCATATATTTCTGTAATTCTTCTCTTTCTCTTCGTGTTAATTTTGGTTTACCAGATTTTGAAAATCTTAATAAGACTCTTAAACACATTGCTTGTTGTTCTTTGTCTAATTGAGACTTCTTAGGAAACTTAAATATTGATTTAACAATACCAGGTACATAACATTTGACTTTATTTATTTGTTTAGATTCACATTCTTTTTCTCCTTCATTTATTTCAATGTCATTATTACTTTCTTCATTTAAATCAGGATCAATATCTTTGATCAAATTGATTTTAACATTTTGATAATCTTCTTCAATATTTTTAAATGGATCTGTAAAATTTCCAGTCATAATCCTATGCATCACACTTTCTTTTTCTAATCTTTCTTCATTAATAAAAGTATCATCTATTATGTCTTCTAATGGACAATTCCTGTTAAATTAATAAATATAAATAAAATTTATAATTATAAATATTGTTTACTTTCTATTAAATAAAAGAAAGAAAGAAAAAATAATTATCTTAGTAATTTTCACTAATTAAAATATAATAATAATATAATAATAAATATAAATTTGAAACAATTTAGGTTATTTAAAGTACTCCAATTTTTTGTACCTACCAATCGATATGTAAAAATCTATCCATAACTAAAAAATTAAATTAAAACTGTATTTTAAATATATTTTTAAATCATATTATAAATTTTATATCATATTTTATATAATATTGTATGAAATTTCATTGAATTATTATAATCATAGAATCACATGAATATGTCACTAGTGTTTACTTTTCAAATGAACGTCAAAATAAAATTGACTACATAATTAAATTTAAAAATTCTATTAAAGAAGTCACTTGTTTTTTTTTCAAAAGTTTATAATCAATCAATGATAGCTGTATTTATATACTGTTTTCCAAATTTATCATTAAAAGACTTTAGAAATTTTTGATATAAGTAATTGATACTTTTCACTACATCTGTGATTACAGTCACGCGCTAAGAACTAGTATAGATAAAGAGAGCAAATAATGGGAAAAGACGAATAATAGATAAAATAAAAATATGGAAATCAGCGCCATCTCCAGAGTATTACAAATAAAACACATAAAGAAAGAATAAAAACTAGTGGAAGAAAGCTAGAGATAGAATAGAAATTCACAGCGCCATCTCTTGAATATTAAAGATATTTCTTTTATAGAATTATGTTTTAGAAGCACTCAAAAGATGATGCTGATTCTTAATTCTTATTCTACTTTATCCTATCTTTAAAAAAATGTTTTTAATATTTCAGAGACAGCGCTGATAATCAATTCATATTTTATTTCTTTTTTTTAATAATTTTTTATCTTTTCTATCTCTAATCATTCTCTCTACTTGTTTTCTTTGTTTATTAGCTCTATAAAAATGCGCTCGACATGATTCTAATATTTAATTAATTTTATTGTTTCTTTTGTTCTTATGTTCTTATATATTGTAATATATATATATATATATATATATATATATATATATATATATACACACATATATTTTATAAATGATTTTTCCAAATAGATATTACCAAATATAGATATAGATTCACAGTAGATATAGATATATTTCATGAATAAATTAATTTTTCTACATGTTTTCTGCAGTTTTCTATAAAATATTTTTACATATTTATTTATTAGATAGAATAATTCAATGTAACAGTATCAAAAGTTTTTTGTGAATATCTCGAAAATTATAATATATATATAAAGGAAAAGTTCTTTAAAATTTTAATTTTTTACAATATATTTAAAATTTGAGAGAAAGGTTTGAAAAAACAAGAAAATATATGTATTTCTTTATTTATGTCCACATATTTCTTCCATATTAATCGATATTAAAGGCTCTACGAATTTCTTGAATTCATCTAATGGACACATCTTATCACAATTAGGAAATTTAAGAACTCGAATATTATCCTTATTTTTATAAAGTATCTGTGAACAATAATGGTAACAATAAATCTAATTATAAAAATAATAGAAATAATAATAAATAGAAATTAATTTTGAAAATTTTAATTTTATGTGATTTTTTTTAATCATTTTTACCAATCATTTTTTAATTTCAAAAATAATATCCTGTATCAATTTATTTTTTATAGAAAGTTTTTTTACCTGAACATAATATTCATTATCGTCTTCGTGTAATTCAAACATCAAACTATTACCATAGTAAGGAATTTCGTTATCGAAATTATCCAATGCAGAAAGTATATATGCGATATTTAGATCATGTGCCGCATACATAAACGCTTTTCGCATATCTTTTTTGCTTATATGATCATTAACATGATTCAACCATTCGCGAATCCATATTCCTGTCGAGTGAAAGAATTATTAATAGTATAATAAATCGGTGAAATCATATTATATTAATTTTTAGAATTTTTTTATTTTTCGATAAAAATAAAAAAAAAATGAAATTTAAACTTACCACCTAACATTTGCTTCAATTCCAGAGTACGAGTACGAATCAAAATGTCATATATAGCTAATTCCTCAAGTTTTCCGTGAGGAAAAATTGATTTCGTCCATTCTGGTAATTCTAAACCAATATCTCTCTAAAAAAAATTATTCCAATTTTCTATATAGTAAAAAAGTATGTTGATTATTTTCAATCTTTTTCAATTAATTTCAAAAGTTGAAAATACCTGTGAGAATAAGTATTGATATAATGAAAACACTCTTGATTGTGTGATATTACCACCTGTGTGTTTGGACAAATATTTATAAATATCTCTATTGTCTTTTTCAAATTGTATCACATCTTCGTCCGTTTCTTCCACTATGTTTCTCAATGTATGAAATCTTGGAGAAAACTGAGTAATATAAAGGCAATCCATAGTAACTGGTATTGTCCATACAGGTATAGGTTGCCAATTCAAATCTGGATTCCACCTAAAATGAATTTTTATGAAATTACTTTATATAGTAATGTAGTTGTTAAATTGGCAACCATTAAATTTAATTTAGAACCTTTGTTCTTTGGAAGGTGGATATAATCCAGCTGCCACGAGTTGTCCACTCATTACAGTTCTATCTACTTCATCCGAGCGAAACCAAATATTTTCTTTCGTGTAAATTTCTCCCAAAAAATCCTCGTATCTTTCTCGAAAGAATTGGC